CCCCAAAACCCCAAAACCCCAAAACCCCGACTTTGCATTAATATATTGAATAAACTTTGTAAAACATTATTCTTGGAGTGAATCCTTTTGGTTTTAAGGAGCCTTGATAATTTTTATCTTTATGTCATTCAAATCAAGGTATCTTTCGAATTTCAGCTGTTCATAGTCGGTTTTAGACAGTACCAAGTGCTTTAAACTCTTATTCATGCTAGAGCATTTGAGCAAACTATTGAGCAGCTTGATCAAAGAGTCTGGACTCTCTTCCCAACTGTTCTGGCCTATTAAACTACAAGAGGCTAGGCTTATTTTGCTTATGTTTGAGTCTTCCAGTGCGTATGTAAAGTCGAATTCAGTGCTCAGATCAAATTTGCATCCTTCCAGGTCAACCAATCTACTCTTTTGAGAAGTCAACAGAATACAGAACAGTTGGGTTGATGTTAACTCATAGTTATAGATCCCAACTTTTCTGAGAGTCTTCGAGCAGGCTTGTAATACCCCATCTTCATAGTAAGAAAAATTTGAGCTGAGAACCCCTCCCTTATTGAAGCTAAATTCCTTTACCTCTTCAGGGAAAAACCTCATAAGATAATTCTTAATTGACCTTCAGCCTGAAATCTCAGTGCTTTCATGATTTTGTTCGAAGTCCTAGATTCTTAAGAATTGTAACAGAATTTTTAAAGGAGATTTGAGGGATTTTTGGGAAATTGTGGAATTTTGATAGATTTTGGAATTTTGGGAAGGGATTTATGAGTTTATTGGTTGATTTGGGAAAGGGGTGGAAATTTTGGCTTTGAATTACTTGTTTTATAGCATTATCTTTGGGATCTGGGACGTTGTTGAAGAGTATGGAATTCACATTGACAAGTCTTGCTTGATCATCTTCAAGTGTTGAGCTAGCGTGGTTAATATCGTCAAGAAATTCGAGATCCTTGGGGTTGTTTAGGTTTAGGCGTAGCCTGAAGAGGGCTCAAACTGTTCCATATTGAGAATCAAGGACATTAATGGTGTGCTTAAGCTTCATTTTAAGAAATATGCCAATATTTGGATTTATACACAATCTGATTGCACATATTATCTTTTTGAAAAGCATAAACTGAAAATCTGGGTTTTTGTGATAGTAGTTAAAGGTTGAAGAAGGTTTTATATCAAGATACCCCAGTCTCTATTCAGTCCTTCCAGAGCAATGGAAAGATATCTTTCGATATCTCTTTCTTGGACAATTGGATCGTCAACTCAGATAACTGCTGTTGAGTTAATTTGGTTTCCATTATTATGTCTTGAATCTTTATTCTCCTCAGTCATAGAACTTTCATTTTCAGTGTACTGAATACGACTACCTTGATTTGATCAACTCATCCCATTATTTTCTATTTCTCAAGACTCAGTAGAAGGCATATTTTTCTATACTTAAAAGCTTTGATAATTACTCTTTCTTGACTCTCTGTTTCATCTTCTATAATAATGTCAAGTTTTATTAACTAAAAAAATGTGCCCGAACTTCAGGATTCTTTAATCTGTAAAATATACAGTTTCCCTATAAAAACAGACCATTGAGGCTTCTCTAAACCTCTTGTTCTTAGGATATGCAGTCTGAAAATTATAACACAGCATATTCTTGATGCGAGTATCCCATAACTTATTTCATGTATGGAAAGGAACAAAACTGAAAATTCTGAAGATACATCAGATTAGCCACAATTTATTGAAATCAGAAATTTAGGTCTTGTTTTCTTACCTTCCGTGCTACTCTGTGGAAATAAATTGGCAAGGAAGGCCTGAACTTCATTGGCGTTAATTGCTGAAAATACTTTCTCCATTTCCTCCTCCAATAGGAGTCCTCTAAATTTATTTTTGACATTATCTTCTATTGCTAAGCATTCTGTGTAGTCAGATTCAGAAGCTGCTTTTAGTAAATTCTCCTGTATTTCTTCGAATTTCTTCTTGCATGCTTCAATTTCTTCTTTAAGTTCTTCTGCTGCTTTCTCGCTGAGATCATCAGAGCTGTCAAGTTTGGACTGGGCTAGCCGATTAACAACCCCTCCTATCTGTTCTATCTCTCCTCTAATCCTCTCAAAATCCATCTCTTCCCATATTTTTCCACTATAATCCCTTTCATGACATTTCTTTCACACCCCGATTGCCTTGCCTACATAAATCTCTCCTAGGCCACTTCAGCCTCTAACTTCGCACACAAATTTTACTTTTGGACCTGTTTTTTCCATTTTTTATTAGTTTTAAGGGGTTTTGGGGTTTTGGGGTTTTGGGG